TTTTGAAAGGGAAAATGGAGTTATTAAGTAAATAAACCCATAAAAAGTCCCATCCATATCTTGTTCGAACAGACCTATTTTCCTTTTGTAAAAAATATAGTTTTTTTAATAACCAGCGATCTGCTCCTAGATTTTCTCAAAGAATTAACCGTCTTCTTTAAAATCGCGTTTGCCTCATTGCTTTATCTGTTATAGTTAAAAAGTTATTAATTTTTTAGAGAAAAGCGAATTTTGAAGAAATATGTCTTTTGTTTTTTTATTATAATTTTCTTCAACTTTATTTAACCGCAAAACTGTTAGCATAATAATCTTCCTCGATGTTTTCTACACCGATTATAAAAAAAAATTGAATTTTGACCATTTTTCCGAGAGTTATTAGCAAATGAAAATGCGCTGGGTAAAATTTACCCATGTTTAGAGTTTACGTAACTTTTTGACGTGTCGGGTTCTAGGGTTAAAGAATAAGAACCGTCTAATGTAAAATTGTTAACGATACAACAATAAATGACACACGGAGAGAATTTTCTTTTAAAATGTATCCTGAATATCACGTGATCGTGGGACAACGCGGCATTTTGAAGAATTTTATGAGAGTTTTTCAAATTTTTCCATACATTTTACTAATAAAATGTATACTAAATATAATTGCTAGTAAAATGTACGGTAAAATTTTAAAAACTCTCACAAGATCCTTTGAAATGCCATGTCCCACGATTTTCAAGACAAATTTTAAAAGATTCTCTTCGTGTGACAAATAACAATAAAACAAAAATACTTTATGCAATACAATATCCCTCGGGATGCAGTCTTACTTAATTATATTTACACAATATTTTACGTTTACACACGGAGAGAATTTTCTCTCGCAATTTGTCCTGAAAATCATGCGATCGTGGGACAACATGGCATTTTGTTGCCATACACTTTACTAGTAAAATATACACTAAGTATAAGCGAAATGTATAGTACAGTTTCAAAAAAACTCTCATAAAATTTTTCGAAATGCCATGTCCCACGATTTTCAGGATAAATTTTAAACGATTCTCTCCATGTGCCAAATAACAATAAAACAAAAAATTCTTTATACAATGCAACATCCCTCAAGATGCAGTCTTGTTTACGCACGGAGAGAATTTTCTCTTACAATTTATCCTGAAAATCTTGTAATTGCGGGACAACATGGCATTTTGAAGAATTTTATGAGAATTTTCCGAAATTTTGCCATATATTTTATTTGCCATATATTTTACTAGTAAAATATACACTAAGTATAACTACTAGCGAAATGTGTGGTAAAATTTAAAAAAAACTCATAAAATTCCTTGAAATATCGCGTTGCTCCACGATTATCTAATTTTCAGGATAAATCTTGAAAGAAAATTCTCTCCGTGCATTGAAAATTCTACAACGACACATATGATAAGGCGCACAGACCCTCGCTGGGCAGGCAACGTGTTAATCCGCGAATCCTTTTACCGCGCGTTTCAAAATTGATAAACTACAATCAACGTTTCGTTTCAGACACGCACGTGGAGCCGCGTTCGCGAGGACATCGATGATACAATGCGTGCATAAGACGCAAGGCTGGATCGCATTATTATCAGCGAAACGCGCGATCTGCAACGAGCCGTGGAAACGCGCGGGTCGTAACAGCGGGACGCGAGTAACTTCGGCGACGGAACAAATACAAATAGAACGATAATGCCGCTACGCGGCCGTGCATCGCGATCGATACCTTCGCTGATTTAATGAACGTCGGCGGTACACCGGTAACGGGTGTTTTACGATAATATTATACAGTTTCGTACCGTCCCGGTCCCACGCTGCGCCATTGTCCGGATCGGTGAAACTGGACTTCCTTACCTGGCCATTGCGACGAGCATTACTCTTGTCTAAACAATGGACGTCGTTCGAGGTGGATATTAATTGCGGATTGGCTTGCGGTTAACACCGAGAAAATATCCGGCTGTGCACAATGGCCGTAACCTTCGGACACGATTTCGGAAATGTACTTTATGTAACTTCGCCTCTTCACTTGCCGAACGATCTCGCGCGATACCAGGGTGAGACGAACAACTCCCTCGGAACTGGCGCGCTCTTTCTCCTGTTGTTAGACAAGCACGGGAATACCGTCCTCCGCTGTATTAAGCGTCACATTAAACGTCGCTGATATTTTAGCTCGACCGTTTATTTAGAAGAGCTTGAAAAAAGGGGAGCGAACGATAACTGTCAATACAACTTTGTATTTTTATCGAATTACGACGCCCGGCCGGTTTGACTCTTGATCCCAGAGTCGAGGCACGCGGTGCGCGGCGGAAGTCACATCTTTCGGGCTGCTGCAATAACAAGATTTATTGCTTCTGAGGCGATTTAATCCAACGGTACACAAGATTCTCTTATCTGGCGGATACGCTTCTACGACGAGCAAGAAGATTATCTTTGGAGCTTCGCCCGAGAAAAGCTCTCGTTAGGCAAGACGCGACGTTATGGTAATTAGAAGCGTCGGTTCAATAAGAAGCGTACGAGCTCGCCGAGTACGAATACCAACTTCTTTAACTCCCCGGTACATTTTCCACATAATGGAACCATAATTGCCACTGCTTATCGCAATATCATAATTATTATTGCTCCTTCATTATTTATAATTATGACAATGCGGCGCGGCCGTAATATTCATTTGCTTTTAGCGCGCTTAAAAAGCCGGCAGGTGTAGGGACATGATAAGGCCGAAAATATACGGCGGGCGCTCCCGAGAGCGACTCTCACGGCCGAATTCATCCCGTTCGTGATTTCGGCGGGGAATAAAAATATCACGAAGCTCGGGGGAACAGGTGCAATTTTTCGTCCAGCGTTCAAGGTAAGCCGGTCGCCACCTGTTTCAATACGGTCCCTACCTCGAAACCTTTTGAGAAACATATTCGCTCTTAGCCGCGGCATCCATAAGACTGGGCCCAGCTTCCTCGTCAACTGGGTCAGTTTCGTCCAAATAATCTTGGAAACGGGGAAACGTTATTGCAGCTACCGCGCGGGGGCGAAAAATATTATCGCCCGCTCTGTTTTCAAAATGGAAAGCAAAATTTGTCCGGGCGAGTTTCGGCCCGCGCTTGGCGGGAAATTGAAATTATAGGTAATTTAATATCTCTGATAGCTTCTGCACCTGCGATACCGGGTGTGTGTGTGATATGATCTCCGTCGTGAAAGCCGAGCATGTCTTACGGAATAGTTATTCTATCAGAGCGACGCGATATCGATCGGTGGATTTAATTGCGCTAAAGTGAAATATGAGAAATATATCTGAAATAATATTGAAGATATCGAACCTAGGATTCTATTTAATTTCCCCTCGAGCAAGTAACTCGAGATATTTCGTATCTGATTATTTCGCGGGAGGGGAGGGAAATTGAATGTCGATTAGCGAGGTAATATTTCTCCCGAGATAACCGTTCATTTGACTCGGCCGTGATCCTTCCTGTCAGGCGTTCGTTTCGCGGGTCTCGTTGCGTTTTACATTTATAATAATCTTTCGCGTGTTGTACGCGGCTATCGGCCGAGAGCGACCGGGAGCGGCAGTTCTGCGATAGCCCGACGATAGCAAAACACGATGGATTTCCGTTGTACCTTAAATAATGACCAATTAATAGAGTTCACAGGGCCTAATCTACAGCGTGCTTTCCGCGTCTGGAAACATTCCTTTTTGTATAAACAAATGAGAACGCTCAAAAACTTTGTCGACGGTATACAATTCGTCAACTTGCACCAATTTGTTAAACGTATTTCGTGATTGCAAAACAGAATGCTTGCAGATGCAGAGAGCACGTTGTAGATTACTCGGAGGGGGGGGGGGGGAAGACAGCAACCCATTTTGGGCCCACGATTAGTAATCGAATTGTTTGGATTGTTCGTAACTCCAATCTTTTACGAACTTTTACCCCGCGTAACTATCGAAAATCGCAATTAGCTATCCTATCTATATCCACGATTTTCAAGTAATACTAATCACAAATTTCAAAGAATTTAAAGGACTCAGAGCCGTGACAGGGTGGTAGTGTCTAAATATTCTATTCTAAGTTCATTGCAAAAAAAAATATCACCTCGCGGCCAGTGATACTTTTTCGCAATAAACTTAGAATAGAATATTTAGACACTACCACCCTGTCACGGCTCTGAGTCCTTTAAATTCTTTGAAATTTGTGATTAACACATACGAGCCATGCTAATTTATTTAATACTAATCAATTCTCTCAATTAGTTCTGTCGATATTCAGTGACGCAAAGATAATTTCCACTCAAGAGGCACTAACCGAAATGTTAAGTTAACTAAAAAAAAAACGGTCAAATTTTTCCCAGAGTAGAGCTACGAACAATCCGAATAATTCGATTACTGTCTTTCTACTGTCTTGCTAATTGTCTTTCTCTTCCCAGAGTCAGTGTTGTGCATAGATGATTTTAAAATTAGCTAGATAAAGATAAAAATATATAAATTTATCTTAGATAAGATAAAGATGATTTCGTTTTGAATATATCTAGATAAAAGATAAAATTATATGATTCATCTAGATAATTTTCAGATAATATTTTTAAGACTTCATGTAAGCACAGTAGAAAAAGTTATAAAAAAATTATAGAAAAATTTAAATTATAAAGGGGGATATAGAATATATCCAGGTTAGGTTATATGACACACACATAAATGCATGGTCTACAACGCCATCCATATTTAAATAGTGTAACTGTTAAGTATTTTTATGTGGCCCTAAACCAAATTATCTGTACGTTATCTTAGATAATTTAGTAAAGATAACACTTTCTTTCATCTAAGATGCAGATATAGATAATAATACTTATTTTTATTATCTATATAAAGATAAGATAACGCTAAAATTGTATCTAGATAATCATCTATATAATTTTATTTCGATAACAGCAAACACTGCCCAGAGTATAGGCTTAAGGTTCCCACGTGATAGACGCAAATTCCGCGACGGGACGTTAGTGCCCGAGTAATTCTTATTTTTAATCACGTCCTCGGACGATCATCGCATCACTTTTCTCAATTACTCGCACATGCGTATGAAATGAATCGCTCGACTCGTTTGGAGATCGATACGATAATTGGAGCTTCGCGCGGCCGCGAAGTCTTCGAAGTCGCTTGCACTTGATTTACAGCTTCCTCCTGCACGGACCGTGCACCAGCAGCAGCAGCCGCGGCAGCAGTAGCGTCGGCAGCACCAGCAATTCAGAGCGCGGTGAATTGTGCTGAGCTCGTGCTGGCAAGACGACGTGCGAGTGATTTGCATGCGAGCTCACAACCCGTGGGAGGGAACGGGCATAATTTGGCAGGTAAGCCGCTCGCTCGATCGGCGTGTCGCCCGTGACGTTTGGTCAACGGCAATTAACAGGTCCCCGTGTACCCCGTGCACGAATCCGTCGAATCGTAGTGGTGAACGACACCGGCCGGGCGAAGCCCGCCTCCATGGGAGATCGACCAGATGCGACGGCACTCATCGGGAATTACCGGGGTACGCGCTGTTCCAAAGGAGATTTGCGCGGTACAGAAGTGGGACATGAGATTCAATTATATATATATATATATATATATATATATATATATATATGTATATATTAACTTGATTGAAAATTTCATTGTGAAACTAATGTAATAAGCGTAATCGCATCAGAAGAAGCTTGGAGTAAAAGATTTAAAATTCAATCTCCGAGTTTTAATTACCGGCGACATTGCCGCGACATGGAAAATCGAGGGGTTAATTGAAAGGTTGCAGCACAAATAAAATATATCTGATTACATTTTCGAGAAGTGGCTGTTAAATTTTAATTTAATTTCCCAGACGAGCGAAGCTCGTTTGTGAGATTTACAGCCGCGCGCGAGGCTACGTGCGAACTGGCGACGGGGCGTTCGTAACAAAGCGTATGACTTGGATGCGATAGGTCGTAAGCGCGGGATTTGTTAAAATGCAGAATAAACACATCTCGCCGACCGCGATACGTGTAGCTTGTCGATGGCGAAAATCAAAATTAATTAAAGCTCTTAATTAATTTAATACATGGCAAACGAATGGCGCATTTTCATAATTTGTTGCTCGTCAAACGTGCCCCGGCGCGCTAAATATCGTCCAATTTGCGCAACATCATTAGTATGCTCGCTCTATACCGCGCGAATACAACATATTGATAATATTACGTTCAAAACAATATATCTCGCGACAAATATAGAGAACTATATTACTTCCGATACGCGATACTGTCGCGCATTCAACAAATTACGAATGTACGTGACAAATGTTGATTATTTAATGCGGCCCCGATAACGACCTAAGAGCCGGTGTGCGCACGTGTGGAAATACGCGTACCCGCGTGCTTTTATTTTTTATTTACATCGGTCGTTAGTGAGGTGCTAAATGTCCGGAAATAATCGTGCTCTCGATAATTGATCGCCGTTCGGCTAATAATCGCATCGGGGGCTCGTAATTGAATTCTTTACAACTGCCACGCACATCCGCGCGTATCCGCGTTTTATAAACGCGATCTCCCCCTTTTTTTTTTTACGATCGCGTTTGTATAAAATACACGTTAATGTCGCCGACAGGCACGACCGGCCGTGTCTTCCGGCGGTGCCTCGTCGGAGCGTCGAAGGGACCGCTGGATGCACGGATCGTCAAACGTTCGCGTACAACCGACTCGATTAAGTTGGCGAAATCGGAGAACCCGGACGCGCGATCTCTTAACGACCCTCACGAGTTTCGACGACGTCGTTGAATGCCGGCGCGGAAACGGCGCGCATTACGTATAGGCGGGATCGCGCGGCTTTGGGAAACTGGATCTCGAGTTCGCCGTTCAATGCACTTTGCGCGCCCGAGAAGCGTCGCCGTTTCCAGCATCCAGACAGTCAGCATCCGCGCGCGCGCGCGCGCGCCTCAGATATAAATTGAGACGAAACCTCTTTCACAGAGACGTCCCTCCCGCCCGTCTCCCCCCCCCTGATATCAATGACGGGGAAACACATCTAGACCCGGGT